CATCTATATTTATATAAATTAATACACATTAAAATAAACAAATATATATATATATATATATATATACATATATACATATATATATATATATATATACTTACAAGAAAAGGTTTATGATTGAAGACATAATCTCTTCTCTTTAAAAATTTTTGAGGGTTGTTCAGTGCTTGCGGCGTCCAGGGAAGAGAAAAGTCTTTGGGCCGCAGGTGAAGAATAAAAGATAAGACAGCACGTAGCTTCTAAGAAGTCAGCAAACATAAATATAAATATAAATATAAATATATATATATCTTTGATTAATTAATTAATTAATTAAATTAAATTAATTAGTTAATTGATTAAAAGCGCATGCAAACAGTCTTTATTGGGATGATGCCCCGCTGGTCTACTCAATTCTCTATTTATTTATTTGTCTCCTTCTCTCTCTTTATGAAGTATATTTGTCTCTCTCTCTCTCTGTCCTTGTCTCTCTCTCTCTTTGTCTCTGTCTCTGTCTCTCCTTCTCTTTCTCTCTGTCTCTCTCTGTCTCTCTGTCTCTGTCTCTGTCTCTGTCTCTCTTTCTGTCTCTGTCTCTGTCTCTCTCTGTCTCGCCGTCTCTGTCTGTCTCTCTATATCTCTCTGTCTTACTTTCTCTCTATTTGTCTATTTCTCGCTGTATTAGAAGCATGTGCATATTAGTATAGACAATAAAACATATCCATATATAAATAATCGCAAACGCAAGCAAAAAATATACAAATTAATAAACAAATATATATATATATATATATATATATGAACAAACAAATAAAATATATATATATATATATATATGTGCAAATGCATATAAAGACAAAAATGCACATATATACCTCCAAATACATCGAGATGCATGCGTATACATAAATGTGCGTATGCATATATATATATATATATTTGTATATATATATAATATATATATATATATATATATACATATGTAGATATATATATATATACAATATAACACACAGATATTTACTTATATACATATATAAGTGTATACACGCACACGAAAAATATATATACACATATATTTATATATATTATAAATATATATGTATATAAGATTAACTTTATCTGCCTCTGTAAACAATAAAGGTTTACATATTTATATGCATCTATATAATATATATCTTCATATATATATAATATATATCTTTGTATATATATGTAATATATATTTATTATTATTATTATTATATAATATATATATTATATATATATATTATATGTATGTATATATATATATATATAATAAGACTAACTTTGTCTGCCTCTGGGCTGACAAGGCCTACAGCCTCTGCTAAGTCTTGAAGTTTAAATTTATTGATGAGAATGCCTTCGTGAATACAGAAAGATAAATATGAAGCAACACGCTGAGCCCAGCGATGCAGTATCATCGCTGCATCTGATTGGGGTGTACATGCATCTTCTTCATTTGATATCGACAAATAACTTTCGTTCAATGCAACGCCAGGTAAACGAAGTGCGTCTTCTATCCCTACACACAAATAAATACACAAATATATATATATATATATATATGTATATGTATATGTATATGTATAGATATATATAGATATAGATGTATACAGATGTATATAGATGTATGTATATATATACATATTTATATATATACATATATATATATATATACATATAGATGTATATATATATATGTATATAGACGTATATAGATATATATTATGTATGTATTTATATTATGTGTATATCCAATATACATATATATATATATATATATATAGATGTATACATATATATATATATATATATATTATGTAAGTTTTAATTGATATTATATTTATATTTTGTATATATATATATATGTAGGTAATTACGGCACAAATAATATAAACATTAACACATATTTTAGTTTTATTACAGATGCATATATGCATATGTATATATATGTAGCAGATACAATACATATATATGCATGTACATGTATATATATATATATATATATATACATATATACATAATGCTAAAAGCAAATGAGTAAGTGCAAATAGAAGCGTTAGAGCCCATCCAAAGAAGAACTTTAAGCAGCCCTGCAGAAAACAAGCGTGACCAGGGTTTAGGGTTTAGGGTTTAGGGTTTAGGGTTTAGGGTTTGCCTTCTCCCTGGCGAATTATCTCGTATGCAACCTCCATGGGGTCATCTACAACCGCCACAGACGACCCCACAGCGTCCAGCAGATCTGCACACAAACCCCTATATTAGGGTTTAGGGTTTAGGGTTTAGAGTTGAGGAGCGAAAAATGCCGTTCCCTTCAACACCCCTAAACCCTAAACACTAAACCCTAAACCCTAAACAAAACCCCTCATATAAAACTAAAAAAATCAGTTTATAGCTGACCCGAAGGTAACAAACATTCAGGCTAAATAAGCCTAAACCCTAATTTTAAACCCCTGAACCTTAGGGTTTGGGTTTAGATATTAGGGTTTAGGGTTTAGGGTTTAGGGTTTACCATCGTCAGCCAGAACCCCTTCATTTTGCAAAATAGCGAGGATGGACTTGAGGAAGATTTTAGCCGGGCCGATCCACTTGGGCTGCGCAACACAGAAGGGTTTAGGGTTTAGGGTTTAGGGTTTAGGGTTTACGGATGCCACGACTGTAAACCCTAAACCCTAGCCGCAAGAGCAACACCGCTCGCCTCTATTCTACCTCAGCCGCTAGTTAGTTAGCTAGCTGGCTAGCTAGCTAACTAGCTAGCTAGCTAGCTAGCTTTAGAGAGCCGCACGTAGCTAGCTACACCCTCGCTACCTATCCATCTACCTATTTAGCTATCTATCTATCTAGCTAGCTAGATAGCTAGCTCTGTAGCTAGCTAGCTACCTATCTGCCTATCTATCGATCATTCTATCCATCAACCTATCTCCCTATCTATCTATGTAGCTAGCCAACTAGCTAGCCAAGTAGTTACCTAGCTAGCTATCTGTGATAGATAGATAGATAGCTAGCTAGCTATCTGTCTATCTATCTATCACTCTATCCATCAATCTATCTCCCTATCTATCTATCTATCTGTCTATCTATCTATATATCCAGCCAGCTAGCTAGCTAGCTAGCTAGCTAGCTAGCTAGTCGTATGGGTGGGTAGCTGACGGTTAGTCTGCAGTTCATATAGAGCCAATGATAAGCTTCATCATGCAGCAAGAGAGCATCTATCTTTGCTTGCAGTATATCGCGGGTTGCGCAGCTGCACAAACTTTCTGAAGAAATAGAATCTGCTATGAACTCCGCCTCCCGCAACAAGTCATCTTCTTTCAGGTGAAACTCTGCACATACACCCCAAACCCTAAACCCTAAACCCTAAACCCTAAACCCTAAACCATGAACCATAAACCATAAACCCTAAACCATAAACCATAAACATAAACCATAAACCCTAAACCATAAACCCTAAACCCTAAACCCTAAACCCTTGAAATCTAAGGCGCGGATGTTCATTCTGCTGTTGTAAGCTCCGGCGGACCAGAGACCCACTAAACCAAATTAGGGTTTATCTTTATAGAGAAATAAGGGTTTATCTTTATATAAATAAATTAGGGTTTAGGGTTTAAGGTTTAGGGTTTAGCGAACCCTTTTGGTCCTCGTGTGATATTTTGTAAGTCAAAATCATATCCTGACATCCGTCCATAGTTGGTGGGGTGTCTGTACACCTCAGCGCAACAAACACACAAAGATATGCATGCACATTAAGCACAGTCACCAGCAGGTGCAGCTGCAGCTGCAGCAGCAGCTGCTGGTGCTGCTGCAGCAGGTGTTGCTGGTGCTGCTGGTGCTGCTGATGCTCGTGCTGCTGCTGCTGCTGCTGCTGCTGCTGCTGGAGCAACGAGCAGTAAAACAGCAGCAGCAGCAGTACCATAGCAGCAGCAGCAACAGCACTGCCGGCAGCGGCAGCAGTGTTAACAGCAGCAGCAGCAGAAGCAGCATTAGGAGCAGCAGCAGCAGCAGCAGCAGCAGCAACAGGAACAGCAGCTCTTACACATTCGTCTCAGGACGATGGCGATGATGTTGGCCTCTTCGTTTCGCACCCACAGCTGCGTAGCCACAGTGCAAACCCTAAACCCTAAACCCTAAACCCTAAACCCTAAACCCTAAACCCCTATTAAACAGCAAACGCTCTCTCTCCGTTGCAGACCTCTCGAATTTAGAGTTTAGCATTTAGGGTTTAGGGTTTACACCTAGGGACTGACTGCCGGCACGCGTAGCTCCTGGTGTTAAGAGGACCTAAACTAATGAGGGTTTAGGGTTTAGGGTTTAGGGTTTAGGGTTTAGAGGACCTGCCAGCCTGTCCACTGCGCTGCGTCATCAGCTAAATTCATTTTCTTGGTGTACGAACAGCTCCGTAAGAGAGCAGCAAAAGGAGAAGCATCGAGCAGGGCCCTTCTAAACCCTGCAGCAGCAGCAGCAGCAGTAGCAAGCAAGCACGTGCAGCAGCAGCAAGTGCAGCAGCAGCAACAGAACAAAAAGCATTTGCGCTGACGCAACAGGTGGCTGTAGCGACGGGCAGTAGCAGCAGCAACAACAGCAGCAGCAACAGCAAGCACAGCAGCAGCAGCATCAACCACAGCAGCAGCAGCAGCAATCGCAGCAGCAGCAGCAGCAGCAAGCAGACCTGCAGCAACATGAGTGACGTCTGCTCTTCCTAGAGGAGCGAGGTCTGTAACAGAAAGAGGCATCAGCAGCAGCAGCTGCACTTCCACGCCGCGTGAATCCACATAACAACCCGTCTGCAGCGCTGCTGTTACCTGCAGCAGCAGCAGCAGCAGCAGCAGCAACAGCAGCAGCAGCAGCAAACGCAGCAAAAGCAGCACACATGTAGCTAGAAGCATCACCTCCATAGAAGCAGTCGAAGCAGCTGAAGGAAATCCTCAAGTGCAACAGCAGCAGCAGCAACTACAGCAGCAGCAATAATAACTACTGCAACACCAACAAATGCAGCAGCAGCAGCAAGAGCATCAGCAACAACAACTGCAGCAGCAATAGCAGCTGCAGCAGCAACAGGAGCAGCAACAACAACAGCAGCAGCAGCAGCAACAGCAGCAGCAGCAGCAACAGCAGCAGCAGCAGCAACAGCAGCAGCAGCAGCAGCAGCAGCAACAGCAATAGCAATAATGAAGTACCCCTGCCCTGTCCTCGAAGTCCTTATACAGCATAAATGTATAGCCATCGTACGACACCTAAACACAAACAAAAACAAAAAAATTATATTTATCTAACATTAAATAAATAAATAAATAAATAAATAAACAAACAAATAAACAAACAAATAAACAAACAAACAAACAAACAAACAAACAAAGAAACAAGCAAAGAAGAAGTAAAAGATATACCTGTTGAGTGCCGATGAAGGGCTGTATTTTGAGGTTAAGATTATCCGATTGATTAAATAAATAATTATTTTCTTTATGATTATTGTTATTATTATTAACATTGATAATATACACCGGAAATACAGACGAGCGTCCTCTTCTTAATATAAAGTCTGAGCACCAAGCAGACTCTAACCACTTCAATAAAGTGTCTCTGTCTCTAGTTTCAATCATTAAAGGAGACACTTCATTGCTGCTGCTGCTGCTGCTGCTGCTGCTGGTGGTTGCTGCTGCTGCTGATGCTGTTTGCTGAGGATAAGGGTATATATACAGCCGCCAGTCTACTGCAGCATCTACAACAACTAAATGTATCTGAAAAAGCATTAACTCTCCTCCTGTAAACAAAGAAGACAGATTCTTTTTTAAGAAATATATTGCTTCGCTCCCAACGCAAACAAACAAACGTCTAGATTTGTTCAAGTGCTCAAGGCGGCATAAACAATAATATAAAACTCGCCCTCCGCATATATCTGACAAAGCGCTCAGCACTGCCTTCTCAGACATCTCCGCCTCCTGCTGCTGCTGCTGCTGCTGCTGTTGTTGTTGTTGTTGTTTCTGCTGCTCTTGCAGCTGCTGATGCTGTTGCTGCTCTTGCAGCTGCTGATCTTGCTGCTGCTGGTGCTGCTAATGCTGCTCGTGCAGCTGCTGATGCTGCTGCTCTTGCAGCTGCTGATGCTAATGCTGCTGTTGCTGCTAATGCTGCTGGTCTTGTTGCTCCTGCTGCGCTTGTTGCTCCTGCTGCTGTTGCTGCTGCTGCCCTTGCTGATTCTGCTTTTCTTGTGGCTGTTTCTTCTACTGCTAGTGCTGCTGCTGCTGCCGCAGCGGCAGCTCTTGCTGCTGCTGCTGTTGCTGCTGCTGTTGCTGCTGCTCTTGCGGCTGCTGCTACTGCTGCTGCGGCTGTTGCTGCAGCGGCTGCTGCTGATCGTGCTGCTGCTGCGCTTGCTGTTGCTGTTGTTGCGGCTGCTGCTCCCCCTCGTGCTGCTCTTGCTGCTGCTCCTCCTGCAGCTTTGGCCGCTGATCTGGCTGCTGCCGTTGCTGCTGCGACTGCTCTTGTTGCTGCGGATATGGCTGCTGCTGCTATTGGTGCTGCTGCTTTTGCAGCTGCTGTCCCTGCTGCCGCTGCTGCTGCTGCTGTTGCTGCTGTTGCTGCCCCTGCTGATACTGCTGCTGCCGTCGTTGTTGCTGCTGCTTATGTTGCTGTTGCTGTACTTGCTGCTGCTGCTTCTTATCGGGGTTGAGCTTACAGAAGGCTTGCTGCTTCTGTTGCTGAGTAAAACATTATACACTGAACCGGGTCCGGATAGAGATGATACTTCATGTGCTGCTTCTGCTGCTGCTGCTGCTGCTGCTGCTGCTGTTGCTGCTGCTGCTCTTGATGAGAGTGGTCCTTCTGGCGCTTACTTGAAGAGGCTAGATAGCTTCGATCCTGCTGCTGCTGCTGCTGTGTCTGCTGCTCGTGATCCTGCTGCTGCTGCTGCTGCTGTTATTGCTGCTGCTTGTGCTGCAGCTACACTCGCTCCCGCTGCTAGGCGGTTGCTGCTGCTGCTGCTGCTGCTGCTGTCGGCTGGGCGTTTACACCTGCTGGAGCCCATACGAAGGTGAAGGGTTTTAAGGCCTTCTGCTGCTGCTGGTGCTGCTGCTGCTGATTTGAGATGTGTGGGGGCAGAGCTGCGGTGTACAGACACCTGGACCACTTGCAAACGGTCGTGCTCAGCAGCAGCTGCTGCAGCTGCTGCAGACTGCAGCAACAGCAGCAGCAGCAGCAGCGACAACTGCAGCAGTATAAAATACAGCTTCTTCTTTCTATTTGCAGCTATTAATCTTCTTCTGAGTTGCTGCGGCAGCAGCAGCAGAGGAGACCATCAGCAGCAGCAGCAGCAACGCCTGAGACCGTCAGCAGCAGCAGCAGCAGCAGCAGCTCCAGCCCGTGCTACTGCTGCTGCTGCTGCCCTGCGGGTGTCTTCTTCTTTGTATTTTTTAATTATTATTTAATAAATATAAACAGAAAATTAAATATAAAGACAAACAAAGCAGCAAGTGCAGCAAAACAAAATAGCAGCTATCATCGCTGCTGCTG